TATAATATTTTCTTCACAAAAGAAAGGACATAATCAGCCACCTTAGTGGTGCTTGGTATTTTTAAGCACTTGCAAGCAAGGTGAAGGCTTGAGGGTTTGCCTCCCCAGCTCAGTGCTGCCCTGCTGACCTCTCTTCCTCCCTCTCCTACATTTCAAGGGTCTTCCTCATCTTCCTTCCCACTTCTAGGGGGCAGAGGCTCTTCTAGGCTCTGCCCAGGAGCATCTTCTCATCTCTCTCTGGGTAATTTCAAGCACAAACATTTGTTCAGCCATATCCTTCCTGCAGTCAATTAATAGATTCACCTCTCCTCTGTAGTACTGAAGTCTCTTTGGCCAACCTAAATTTGACTCTGGGCTCTTTCTTTTCTTTTTTTGATAAGGTATTTCAAACAATTTAGGTTTAATCTAACTGAAGTAGAGCTCTTACTCTCCTGTCACTCCTCAGCTCTTTTACCTTCTTTTTTTCCAACTTTTATAAAAATTGCCACCCTTCTTATTCTTACTAAAACTCATAGCCTCAGCATCACCTTCAAGCAAGCCCTCATAAAGCCTCACATCCGAGTTGCAACCAAGGACTCCTAAGTTGATGGGTTCAAGCTGATCACACACAGCCCCACACCCAGGTGATTGCCTGGCACTCCTGCAGAAGTTATTTGTCCACATGAGGAGTGCCTGTTGAACAGGATACGTCCCTGCTCCTCAGCTGCTGCTCTGCCCGTGATGGAGGGCAAAGGCACATCACAGCGGAGCACAGAGGCAGAGGAAATGACAGGCTCTGTTTCAGCCCATCCTCCTAAATCCACTCAAACACATCAGTGTCTTGAGTCCTGCAGATTCTGCCTGCATCTGTCTCATCTTCAGGACACAGTCTTTCCCCTTTCCTTTCTGCAAGCCTCAGTCTTCTCTCTTCTGCCACTGACAGAGACTTGCCACATTTGTGTTTATTCCAAATTTCTACTGTTGTACCTGTTTTCCTACCCTCTGTCTTTCCTGTCACTTTTTGCATCTCTTTCACTAGTTTCATTTTTCTCTATGAAATGAAAGATCAGCTTTTTCACTTTGAAGGCTCCTCACAAACCACTCCCTGTCACTCATCAGTCAGGTTTGAAAGATGGATCCACTGTGGCTCATCCTGCAACCAACTCTGGCTCCTATTGCCCACTTTTTATACTGGGGAGCCTTCTCATAGATGTCTGTAAAACCACCCATATTGTCTTTCAGATCTGTTACTTTAAACACAGCTTTGCTTTTTAGTCAAGAAAAAAAAAAGAAAATAAAGCAGGACTCCAAGCCCCACCCTGCCTGGTATTATCTCCTTTCATGTGCATGTGGTCTGTCTGCACCTGCCTCTTGTCTCGTAATTTGCAATTTAAATGGAAAATCTTACGCTATGTGTGAACTTACTCTCTTGATGCATCTCGTCACTGCTAAAATAGCACGGATGAAAATAAGTTACGTTTTGGCTTTGACTTGTCTTAAACTCTTGGATGGGAGTGCTAGATCTGACCTGCTGGATCAGATCCACCTTGCAGATATGTCCCTAATTCACTCGAGTTTAACCCAAGATGCTCCATAATTTCAGGTGTTCTGGATTTAATGCTCCAGAATTAACCCTTTGTGTTTCTATCAGTGAATGCCCCAACACCTGCAGAGCTATAGCCTGCAGAAAAGCAAAGCTTTGCTTCCTGGTCATCTTGTAATGCCAAGGTGAGTGGTTCACCATGGTGACAGCAATCTGATAAGGTCTCTATCCTTGTAACAGGCACAGGGAGAGCTGAATATAGGCTGGGTCAGGCTGCATGTGAGAAAACAAAGTTTGCAACCCTTTTCAGTTTCCACTGGTGTTAAGCTAATACTTTTTAGTAAACTGTGTCTTGAAGTGTGCTTTTATGAATCTATTTACAAAGCCTACCACAACAAAATGCATTGTGGTTTTCTCCTTTTGAACTGTATTAGCAAATGTGAAGGTATTTCACTGGCATAATCCCCCAAAGTATGGGAACACCTCAAAAAGCAGTAAGACATATGAGCATTCACCTCATAGTTGTTGTTTAATTTTTTGTGTTTTGTTTGTTTGTTTTTCCTCCCCGTGGTGCTAGTGACCATCCAGCTTTGAAGAGCATACTCTTTCAGGGCTGGGGCTTTGCTGCTCCTCGTGTGTGTCCCTGGGGCAGGGCTTCCTGTGCATTCCCCACATTTGCACATCGTTTCCTTTTCTTCCTTCTCAGAATCCTTCCTTTTAAATGCACATACCGTGAGGCCACCTGTCAGAAAAAGCACTCTCTTTTAGCCTTTTTTGATAATGTAATAATTTTGAAACCCTCGTTTCCTTTCATAGTGTGGTGTTTTGCTCTGTCCATGCTTTTCACTGTCACTCACCTGCAGGACAGGTGCCTCTGTCACCAACTCCAGACCACTCCGTTCTTCCTCTCTAGGTGGACAGGGGTTTGTTTTTCCTACTTGCTACTGCATGTCAGTCCCTGGGCTCTGTTTTGAAGTCTTATTTTCTTTTTTTTTTTCTTTTCAATTCTTAATGCCACTTTTTTCACAGGCTCTAAGAAGTTTATCTTAAATACCTTGCAGTTAGTTTTCACTCTGAAATGAGTTTGACTGTATTCTAATAGGTCCCTATTGAGATGTCTTCAACTAGAAAAAAAGATTTTAAAAAAATAAATCCAGTCATTTCTTGCAGCATTTAAGAAATCCTAGGCCTTTAAGATTATGCTTAATGTTTGCAGAGCATGAACGCTTCTGGTGAAAACCCCTAACAGGCTTTGGGATGCATTTTGCTAAGCTGAGAACATCCAATGCTACCTTTTATATAGTGTGTGGATGCTTTCAGGGCTTGAGATCCAGGAGACCAGGGACATCTAACGCACACGGAGGGAGAAGCGTGCCACCTTTGGGGCAATGTTCTGCTTTCTCAAACAGAACTCTGAAAAGGATGCACTTAGCAGTGGGACTCCTGAAGGCAGAGTGGTTCAGAGTGTTACACACCGTGGTTCATGTCATGTCTACTTCACCTTGGCTCACTAAAGGTTTCAGAGGATCCAGCCCATGTGCTTGTGGCTCAGGGGAGCAAGTGGTACATTACCACTTTTGCTGTGCTCTTGACAGGGCTCACGATATTAGGGGCAGGCTGTGTTCAGGGTTCAGACACAGTGCTGAAGGAAATGGTTCAAGCAGCATCTATTATTGGGCATGAATTGAAAACTGAAGTCTATTCAATCTTTAAAACCAAAAGAGTGAGCAGATGCTGTTCTTTATGACCCCCAACATGAAATCTTGAAAGCTGCATGGGGGTCCATGGTGCTTCTTTGGATTTGCAGTCCTTTGACACAGAGGCTGTTTTCAGACAGGCGTGGTTTTCCTTGTGGCTTTTGTCACAAGATACCAGTTTGCGTAGTCATGGCACGTTGCTACAACTCCTGCTTGTCAGGGGGAAGTTGTCTTATGGTGTGGAGTGGGAAACCTGCAGTGCCCTTGAACACGCACTCAGATTTTTGAGCATCAAATAACTCTCAGTTGGTTCATTTCTCCCTTAAAGCATTAATGAAAGTTTTTTAAAGTCCTGTTTCTCTGGTCTCCCTGCTCTGAAGTGGTAACACTGTTGCTGAAAGTGTGAGGAAAAAACCCAGCAAGCAGATGAGGGGAGGAGGCTGAAGTGGCTGATGCTGAAATTGTATTAAAATATTCTCATCAGAAACCAGGATTTTAAGTTCTGTTGGTAGTTATTCAGGCTCACCCTGATGATGTGCCATTACAGCTTCATGTAGCTACAAGTTAAAACTACCCCAAAGTCTGGGAGGAAGAGGCCAAGAATTATATTAGAGATGTAAGCATTATTTTATAGCAGCTATATAAAGACATAACTGTTAGCAATTAATTTGTGTGAAGAATGTATATAGTTTCTATAGTTTGCATGTTTGAGGCATAGAGTTTTTAACCATACTGTTTAGTCATGCATCTTTACAGTGCAAACTGGCATGTTGTTAAGGTCATATTTGCTTTAGTTGCATCTCTGAGTCTATCATGAAATAATAACTTATCTGTTGATACTCTGTTTCCAAATCAACGAGTATCTCCTCCCAAACATATGTGCATAGTGTAGTGTGTATGTGCACACAAGGAAAAGGAAGCAGATGACTTGTGTTCAGTATAATGATTGTTTTGTGCTTGGACTGCTGCAGACTCCCTGTTGAAAAGAAACTCAGGCATCCGTTCATTCATGAACAAAGCTGCTGTCCCAGCTGTGGTGGTTGTGCATTGACTCTTTGTGTAGGGCCTTGGTTAGAGAAAGACATAATCTCCTCCCTGCTTCATAGCCCTTCTCCCTCTTCGCTTTCCTCACTGTAACCATAGCATGCTGATCAATGCCTCCATGACAGGTGGAATCTCAGCTGAGGTTCCCATCAGTGGAGGAGAGAGGAGAATTGATGGTGGTTGGCAGAAGAATCCAGATGGGTTATTGCTGAGTGGTTCCTGAGTATAAATCAGCAGAGTACGTGTTTAAGCTGGCACTTAACAGGGCTGGACAGGACACATGGAGGCAAGGGTTGATGAAGTTGCTGTTGCAAAGGAGGAGTGAGAAATGGTCAAGTTGTGTGGGAGTCCTCTGGAAATGGAAAATTCTCCCTAAATGTGACAGCTTTGATATAGCAACTTCACACATGCTTTGCTCCAGTTCTGGAACCAATTCTTGCTTTCTTTTCTGATGTGTGGCCTCAAAATGGCTTGTGATTTCAGTGCTGAGCTGTGTTCTCCATGTCATGCTCTGTACTATCAGACTGTCCAGATGGGATCCTTCAGCATCCTTGTAGCCTTTTATTGTCTAAGATGCTCCAGAAACCTTTAGTGATTTACAGAGTGGGGATTTGCTTAACTTTTATTTTGATCTATAGTTACCCGCTGAAGTTTCTGGGGTATTTTGCATGGAAAGGTTTTTCTTGTGTATTACTCACAGCAGATTTGAACCCCTTTTTCCCCCATTCTGCTTTCAGATTCCATAGGTGGGTCATTTTCGGCTTCCTCCCACCGATGCCACCACAAGCAGAAGCACTGTCTCCCCATCCCGCAGTGTGGAGCTCTGTCCATCAGCCCTCTGCTTTTTCATCCCCACACCAAGGGATCCCAGATCATCATGGACACAACACAGAAGGCAGTGAAGCGCCAGGCTAGCTTCTGCAATGCTATTACCTTCAGCAACAGGCCCATTGTTATTTATGAACAAGTCAGGCTTAAGGTGAGTAAATGATACTTACTGCCATGTGAGCTACTGTGAATGAATGTTGTGGTGTACCAGGCTTTAGTGCTTGCACCAGACCTTTAGTCCTTCCTTGAAAAGCACAGTAGTCAGACCTTGCCCTTAAATATCTGCCATCTTTTTTGGTACTTCTGCTTTTGTCATAATAGTTTTTGGAGCCATCAGTGGAGACCACTGTAGAAACTGGGAAGAAAAAGGAAATCCATGCTCCAGAAGAGCTTATCTGGATGCTGGGCAATGAACAACAGGTTTAGTTGAGACTGCTTGGAAAACAGCAACAAAAAAGGGCTGTATTGGTCAGTCTGAAAGGCAGCAGCCTCAATATCTCTCTACCCAACCTGTCCTCTAGCATCCTGCTAGGAGTTTTATTGGGTGGGCTGAGGGAGTTAGTTAATGCATTCAGTTCCAAAACAAGCTTTTTTCTTCCTGTAAACAAGGCAGCAATGAGGGCTGGTGTCATGGAGGTAGGAGTCAGCCTCTCCACAGCCAACAGATCAGAGGTGAAAAGGACTTGGAAGTGAAGGCACTTGCTCATGTGCGTGGCAGGGAAGATAAGAGGGTTTTGCTGAACAGATGAAAGGAGCAGTCAGTGCAGTCACAGTTGTCATCTAAGAAAAGGATCTTTCTGGAGGTCTGCTGACTGCTTTGTTGAATCAGTCTCCTGATAGCATTAAGGTCAGAGGAGAGAACATTGCAGGCAGCACATTTTTCTTGCTGGCAGAGGCCAATTTCACTTCTTTTGTGTCTGTGGTAGCCAAGGGAATGGAGTTGGTTCTCCTTGTGCTGCAGCTGGTGTGGGAAGTCCAACTCCTCTAAGGGAGCATAGCTCCATGTGCACTGGGCGCTGCTTCCCAATGAAGAAATTCACCAGTCCCCATCAGAACTGAGGCACATTTCAAGCTCTCAGCACCGTGAAGGAGCTTGGGGCCCTTTGCACTTCGTCCACAGATATTTTCCAATATTTATGCCCTCTGGTTTGTGGGACTGTGTTTTTCTGTTCTTAGCTGGTTCTGTGCATTTCACTGGCACAAAGTAGGTCATCATCTTTGGCAGACTTTAGTTCATGGCACATGTGAAAGATCTGCCTGCAAATCCTTCATTTACACACAAGGAGTTTTATCTACATATAGTATACATATCTGTACGCTGAGTCTGAATGAACCTGATGCTGTCCATTGCTAGAGGTCCCAGACTGCTGTGATGTACAGCAGTGTATAAACCTTCCCTGTCTCTTCCCTCACAGCCAGCAAAGGAGCAAAAAACGAGCAATATGCTTCCTTTCAAAAATAGAGAGAGATTTCAATAATTTCGGGCTCAGGCCTATAGGCAGAAAAATCTCTCCTATGGGTTTGTTGTTTCCTGCAGAGATCTTACTGCTTCCATTCAGGCTCGAAACCCAGCAGGACTTCCTCACGTTGCCTAATGGGATTTTTTCCACGTTGGCCAGCAGTTTGGACAAACAACTGTGAAAAATGATTTGGGAGAAGATGAAAGCAGCATTGCATTTTTGAAAACACCATCAAAGATTTGAGTGGGTTTAGTGGTTTAGGCAAAGGTTCTGGGTTATTCCTTCCTCATTCTGAAACAATGCAGCTATCTCAGGAAATTCACACTTGTTTATCACTGTATATTTTAGGATTTTAGCTTGCATAACATATGTGAATAATATGCATGCAAATCTTTCATTTCTGCACAAGGGATTTATGAACAGAGCTCCTGCTAAGTCTAATGGGAAGGTCTCATGGGAGTTATCAACAGGCTTCAGCACTCTAGGGACAGATGTAAAAGTGAAAACATCTTTGCTTTTCTGCTAAGTCCATCCTGCAATTGCCTTGTTATTGTATGTGCCTGTGGAAAATGGCATCTTAAACCTTCTTACCAGCTAAAGATTAGCCATGAGCCCAATCATTCATGTCCTATAAATTTTAAACTTCCTTTAAAAAACTAGAAGAAGTCATAGAATAGAATCATAGAATGTGTTGGGTTGGAAAGCACCTTTAAAGATCATCTAGTCCAACCCCTCTGCAGTAAACAGGGACATTGTTACTAGATCAGGTTGCTGAGAACCCCATCAAGCCTGACCTTGAATATCTCCAGGGATGGGGCCTCCACCACCTATCTGGGCAACCTGTGCCAGTGATCTACCACCCTCATATTGAAGAGCTTTTTTCTGATATCCAACCTAAACCTACCCTTTTCTAGTTTACAACTATTACCCCTCATCCTATTGCTACATGCCATAGTGAACAGTCAGGAGATACCATTCTATTTCTTAGGTGTTGTATCTTGGATTTTATTCTGAGATTTCTTTGCAGCTTTGGGAATACCATTAGGCAGCCAGAGCTGTGTGAGGTTTGGGAAAATTTCCTCTTTCTTTGCCTCCAAGGTATGTGTCCCTGTGTGGTTTCTTCTGTGTAACCTGGGGCACTGCTAGGGAGTGGGGTGAAATTGTCAAAGGTAGCGCAAGAGCAGGAGTCTGAAGATGTGGAAGCAGCCATGGCTTAGCAGTCTGGATGCAGATTGTATCTTTTCCTCCCCTTCTGGTACCCGGTGGACCTCCCAAGTTTTTCTGCTAGCAGTGGCTGCTGAAGAGAGAATTTGGTCCGTCATCAACCATTGCCTTTTTTAGCAAAACTGTACCCTTTGTCCAGCTGTCTCTAATTCTTGGCAGGCTTTATACCAGATTTTAATTTGGATATTAGTTTGCCCATAGTCAGACTGTATTGAGAACTGTTTATGGGTGCTGATTAATACATGGAACATGTGCAGCCTCAATTACCATATGAATATTTACATTGTGCAGCCTGTCATTGCTGTGAAGTATCGGCAAGAGACTGTGAAAGAGTAAATTGTACAAATAATAATGAGGCCATATTTATCTCAGACCCAAAAGCTTTTAGAATTTGCAGTGTATTTGCTGCAATAAATAATCCAGACTTCTTGGAGTGTGCATGTAATTCCCATTTTGTCACTTGGACGCCCCATCCATCCCCACTTCCACTGGAGACATGCATGATCCCATCCCATCTTGGCTGGGCATGTAAAATATCAAATCTGCTCCAGTCCTTTTTAGTGCCACCCTGGTGTCCATCCTGCAAGCAGGAGCTTCCCATGGTTCCTAGGACTGAGGTCAGTGCTCAAGTGTTGGATGTAAGCAGTAGGTGCTTGGCTGAACTGAGTAGGGATAAATAGCAGCACTCGCTTAACTGAGGAACCGTCTGTCGATAACTTCTTTCTGAAGCTCTGACTTGTTTTCTCTGATACTTTAATTATAAAGAAGACATCTCTGGGCTCTGAACAGTGTCTTTGTTGTGAGATTGTTGTGTCCTAAAGGGTACACGTTCTAGATTTCCCTTGGAGAGGAACATGTGAAAGAAAAATGGAATGTTCACAAATGTGATTAGAAGAGAATTTAGAAGTCCAAAGAAGATGTCTTAGAGAATCCCTTGTTGAAAATCCTGTTCTTTCAAGCTGGGACATGAGGGGCTGCTGCCAGGCTTTTGATGACAAAGTCCTTAGTCCTGGACAGTTCAGTCTGTGGCATTGCCACTCATCTAAGCCATTAGTAGTTTGGTAGAGCAAGGCATTACAGTAAGGTATCAAGTTCTGTGTGACAGCTGGTAGGTGGTACCTATCCATGTTTCTGCTCTTGTCCTGCAGCCAAGAGTGAAATTGCTTGAGGCTGCCAAGGATTTGATGGAAGAGGGGTATCTCAGATGCTCTCATGTTTGCTGCAGGTTCAGTGCATGAACAGCAACACCAATTATGTGTCAACTGGCACGCAGGAACTGTCCTGGCCCCACATCAGGATTTGGTCCAGCATCCTTAGGTCTTTCATTTCATATCCCTTTGAGAGGAACAATCTTAGCAGGTTCATACTCAACAAAATGAGAGGAAAAAAATTCTCCAGTAGCATCATATACATATAGGGACCATACTAACCCTGGAAGACTCCCTACTTCCATGGAAAGAAAGAAGACTTTTAACTGGGTGATGTTCTGGATGTGCTACACATGTTTAAGACCTGCTACCTGCTCCCCTCAGATCTCCTTCAGTCCAGGCTTCAGTGCATGTGAGAGGAAGCTGATGAGTCTGGAGGCATCTGTGATCCTTTGCCCTGCTGTCTCTCAGGTGCAGAAGGGTGGATATGACACGTGCACTATCCCAAAAACATAGCAGACGTTCCAGACCCCAGATACACTGAGTAAATGCATACTGACAGGCAGGGTGTAGATGTGCACAGCATATCTTGAAAAACACCACTCACAGCTGAAAGAAATAGGTTTTCCCTGGTTATAAGACCACATCTATCATTGCCTCCTAATTGTGTATTTAATATAGGTAAATACTTTAAATTGTGCTTTCCCACACACAAGTTCTCTGCTGCAAGGCTGTGATTTCATCCAATCTGACAAGCTAAACAGGGGTAAGACTATCTGTTATTTGTCTGGGAAAGCCAGAAAACCCTATGGTGGAGACTGTGATTCTGGAGCCAGTGCTTTTTCCTCAGGTCATGAGAGACCTCATCATCCTAGCACCATGGAGGAAGAGCTCTGCTGCTGCAGGTGCTGAGATAAAAGCTCTTATGGCCATTTTTGGCACATTTTGTGAGAGGATGATTCTTAGGCCAAAAGGAATTACCCTAGAAATAGAAGTGAGTCATCATGCAGCTGTAATTACATTTCACCTCTCTGCAAAGATTTTATTTGATTTTTTTTTTTAACATGTGCATTGTATCCTAAATATGCAGCATTGCTGCAGCTGAAAAAGCTACAGCAGTGTTTGGTGGATAAAATGCTTCCTAAATCTAGTGGGCTCATCTGTTGTGGTGGCTGTTGGTGCTCGATGGCATAGAGTCTGTACCATGTAAGTAGGTGTTCAAGTGCCAAATGCTGTTATTGCTGCTGTTATCTTTGCAGATCACTAAAAAGCAGTGTTGCTGGAGTGGGGCTCTTCGACTTGGGTTTACTTCCAAAGATCCATCGAGGATTAACCCTGACACTCTGCCCAAGTACGCCTGCCCCGACTTGGTTTCCCAAAGCGGTTTTTGGGCCAAGGCTCTGCCTGAAGAGTTTGCGAATGAGGGAAACATCATAGCCTTCTGGGTGGACAAGAAGGGACGTGTTTTCTATCGGGTGAATGACTCTGCTGCCATGCTCTTCTTCAGCGGGGTGAGGACGGCAGAGCCCCTCTGGGCGTTGATCGATGTCTACGGACTCACCCGTGGAGTGCAGCTCTTAGGTGAGTACCTGGGTCCAAATGCGCAGGGATGATGCTGAGCCGTACACTGCCTGTACGCCTCTCTGTGCTGGGACAGGTGCAGGGACATGTATTTTGTTTCTCCTCAGAGCATCTCACGACCTCAGCCTGGATCAGTGGGTGTTTGAAACTTAGCCCATAAAAATAACATGAGTTGAAGGTGGGAAACAGCTGCTACAGTGTAGCACTAGAAGCCATCTGTAAATATGCTCAGAGGTGTTGCTCTGTCAGAGTGTAGTCTGGAGTGTGGCATATACCTTCTAAAACTTTGTTTTTTTTCTCATCTGCTGCTTTCCCCATGCCGAAGTGGGGATATGCATTTTACATGTTATGGATATATCCTTCCTGGGTGGCACTATTATGACTTTCTGGCTGGTTTAGTGGGCCGATTTGAAACATGGATATCCTCCAAGTTACCTGGGAGAACCTGTGGCTGGTTTTGCCAGAATATTGCTTTCACAGAGGAGTTTTATTCATCCTCTGGAGCCTGGATATACAGTTAGGGTTGGAGGATAAGGAGTGCTGAGTGCCTTTGTCTTCTGCCATCCTTAGCTGAAATGGAGACAGTTTTGGCATTCATGAGGACTCAATCTAGCCCCAAATGTGCAGGCTGTCAGGGCTTGGGCTGTTTGAGTTTACATATCTTAGAAGAACTGAAAAGTATGTCCAAGGACCCAACTTAAGGGGCAGCTAGGTTGCTGGAGGTGTCAGCATGCAACCTTAGAGTTGGCTTTGCATTGTCACTGGGGGGAAAATCATAGCAGTTCTCATGTAACAGTTTCATGGGTCTTGTTTTCACCATGGAAAAGGTTAGATAGTACCTGCTGACCTTCATGAGCTGAACAGTTCCTTCTGAAGATGAGCTTGCTAGGCTGAGAGAGATCCTGGCTCTTTCCTTTTGCGCAGCCTGATAGTCTCTGTTAAAATGACATTGTCATGCTGTATATCAAAAACTTTAATGAAGCCTCTTTCTGACAGTTCTGCCTCCTTTCTGCACTGGTTGCTGCATTAAAAAACATGGCAGGACTGCCTGTAGCAACCTACACAGCAGGGAAGAGGGATGTGGAGGAGGTGAAGAAATGGAACTGACCTCTTCTTGCTGCAAAAACTACTGGCACAAGATTGCACAAGACAGAGGAATTAAAGAACTTCTCAGCAGCTCTTTGCTTTCTTTTAGGATCAGAAAGATTTATCTTTTGTTGTGAATCAGCTTGAATCGGAGCCACTAGGCAACTGTTTGTAGGCCAAGGTGGTGATATTTGAATTGGGATCTAGAATTTGAGCAGATGTCACGCCAAGGGTTCAGTTAGGAAGAGCTGACGAATGACTTCAAGTCCTCTGGCTGTTCTTGCGAGATTTGGCACCTTAGGACTCCTCCACCTGATTAATGAGGTCCCATAACTCTGGATTATGTGTTTCCTTTCAAAACACCCAAGAAATCATTTCCTATCCGTCATCCGCCCCTGTGTTGTCCTAGCATCTTCCGCCTCCTCTTTCACAAGGAAAACGTGACTCTTGCCAGCCACTTGACTCTGGTGGAACAGACTCACTGATGGGTATAAAGTCCCTGAATGAATCCGGCAGCTTCTGAGTTTACACAGTAGGCGTGGAGCTCTGATATGTATTTATAGCTCATTCCAGCAGCCTTCAGCAGGCTTTAAGCCTAGCAACTGTGCCGAAACATCTTCAACTTGAGTCTTCTCTATCTCCATTCGTTTTTGCACATTATTACAGAGTGGGGAAATTGTTGGCTGTGTTGCCTCTGGATCCTATAGACGTACCCACTGCAGTGCTCTGCATGCCTGTTTTAGTGTAGCAGACCACACATATAGTACAGGACAACTTGCCAAAAATTCCCGGGACTTGACAAATGTAGCTTAGCTACAAACATATGGTCAAGTTCAGCCTGGTATGGCATGCAGGGCATCTGATGGAGGCTGCGGATGCTGGAGTGGTGTTTTGAACAGAGGAGCCAAGCATTTCAAATTACAGTTCAGTGATTTATTCTGCCCCCCAACCCCAAACATGTTCCTTGCTCTTGACCCTCACTATTTTCCCAATGGCTATAGGGATGCAGGGTCATACTGTACCTTTGCAGAGCCTCCATTTGCTTTTATGTGTATGTCACCCAAGAATCTGGCCAAAAGCTTTGCCATTTCTGGTGACTCTTTTTCTGTTTATTGCAGAATTATTCCCTCCTCGCTCCCAATAATGTAACTTCAGTTCCAAAATCAGACTTGCCTGAGGAAAGATATGCCGCAGTAAGTCTGTTGTCACTGCAAGATCCCAGCTCTGCAGGGGAATGCACAGTGTGTATTTTTGTTGCCAAAAGTCACAACTTCTAAAACTTCATATTTTTGTTTCACTTATCTGCATTACAGTAGTAGTTCCAGCCAAAATAAAAGACCCAGTAAAGCAGAGCAATGACCAAGTCTAGTGACACTGTTACTGTCTTAGAGATTTAATAAAGAGGGACTTGAACAAGAGGGAGCCTAAAGGCTGGGAGAGTTAAAGAGAGAAGTTGTACAACAGTGTCACCCAATTCAGGGATGCCATCAGCCTTGTTGCCCAGTTCAGTCCTGCCTCCCTCTCTATCAGCATCACAGGCATTGCACAACATTCTGGCATCACTAAATTGTGCCTGTGGATGAAAGAGAAACAGCTGGTTCATATCTTACTTTTTCATTTTCTTCGGCTTACGGTTTTACCAATAGCACCAACCTTACTGATAGTTACCTGCATATCATTACTGCTGTCAATGCACAGGTTTATGTGGCTGTCACAGATGTTCCTGAGTCTGGCCACCCTTGCTGTATGTTCAGAAGTCGAGCCCTTTAAGCAGCTTCTTTGCCTGCTGAGTTTTGTTCTGAAACAGGTAAAAGGGGCTTGCATGGTCCATGGCATCTCAGCTGAGGGGAGGTCAGGAACTGAGCCTGGACCACGTCTTGCCTGTCACTGCTGGAGTGAGTCAAAATGAGAGACTGGCTTAAATCCACCTTCAAGGTGGCTTCAGAGATGAGGTTCACAGTGCTCACACGCTTGGTCACAGGTGAGAGGCTGCTCCTCGCTCTCCTTGCCTCTACCCACATTGTAGAGATGAAAAGGCTTACATTCACCCAGGAACCTGGTCTCTGACCACAGTCTCAGCTGGTTTCCTGCCACAGTGTAAAGGCCTGCACAGGGGAGGCTGTTGCAACCGAGTACATGCATGTCCTATGTTTTAGGGCATGAGTTTCAGAGTAGATGCTGGCTTATGTGACCTGTAAACATGCCCTTATACAGTGACTCTCCTGCCGACATGCTCAGCTTGCAGGCAGGATGGTTTACAGCTCTGCTTCCCTTTTTGGGCAGTTAGTTTTGCACAAGTACACTTCTAAATTCCAGGATAATTTAAAGTAATATTTACTAGAAATGTGGCTTAGCCTTATGTTATCACTTCAACATACACACATGCTCATTCACACTTCAAAAAGAGTCCGAGAAAAATGGAATATAAGCAATCTGCTGTCTCACTGCTATAATAAAGCATCAAAAAAGAAGAGGAAAGGAGCAGCTGTTTAAATCCTGGGGTCTTCAGAGCCCTGGAGGAAGGATGGCAGCTCAGGGGAACCAAATGGTGTTGCCTCACATTAGCCTGCTTCTTCCAAGGCCTTGGCTAGTGAGCCTGGCATTGACTAAGAAATGTTCATCAACACTTGCTGCGGACTCTCCGCTGCACAGCATGGGTGGCAGCTCTTCTCAGTGACCTGTAAATTAAAGCATAATGCATGTCTTCAGCATTTTCTTGTACCTTTTGGTGGAGAATTCCAGGCTGTATGGTGCCTTTTTGAAAATTGCCCCCTTTTTTTGGCAGTGATATTGTAGCACAGGATCATGGAATGATTGAGATTGGAAAGGACCTATGAAGATCATCTAATCCAAGCATCTAGGGTCTTTTCTTTCAAAGCATGACAGATATGGAAAAAAGGTAATGCAAAGAAATTATTATTTCAGCATACTGCTCCTACCCTGTATTTCCAGTGGGGTAACAGGAGGAACGACCTGTTGATTTTCCTTAGTCCCGTTTGTTACTGGTATGGTCAATAACCAAAGCCCTTTATTGTTTATTACTCCATTCCCACTCTTCTCCCATCCATCTGTATTTTCATTCATGCAGTATTTCAAAGTATTCTTAGACCTTTACTAGCACAGACTTATATATTATATTTATTATATATTATATTTAGATTGGCACACTGAGAGGCACCTGTTGAAGAAAGCAAAGCTTCATCAGCTTTTAGGAAGATAAAATACGTGAAAAACTACTAAGACCTTGCAAAGTGGGAAAACTTTAACTGCACATGTATTAAATGTAAATGTATGACATTAACCTGAAGTACAAACAGTATAAATATATACTTTGGTCATAAATACATATACAGATTCTAGTAGAACTAACTGACAGTGCTATGTATTATATTAGATATTTGGGAAATCTTTTCTTTCTCTGGATCCCCTTCCTAGCTTCTTATTTTTTCATGTTTGCGAAGTATCAAAAGTCAAAGTATGAACTGGTCATGGATGGATATGTACCCATCTCGGGACTTAAGTTAGTGTATTTTCGACAAGAATCATAAAATCATAGAATACCAGGTTGGAAGGGACCAACAAGGAAGTTGCATGTTTTTTAGGGAAGGAAGGAAACATGTTTTTCTTTCTATACCGCTGTCAGTTCTTAGGTAAATTGAATCTCCAGCTCCAGGGCACCTTTAGAAGAAACATTAAATAAGCCTCAAATGAGGTGGATTTATGGGCAAATTTCAGGAGTGAATGGTATAAGACTGATGATAAATTTGATTCATCACATGCAGCTGCAATTTTACCATGTGGCTATTACTCTTTTATTTTTCAAGTGCAAAACTTATTTTCCAGTACCCACAGGAATCCGTTTCTTTTGCTATTCTGACACATGCAAGTAAGCAGAGTGATCTGCTGAGAGTGCT